TCGAGCAGACGGATTGAAAGACCCTCTTGCCCCAGGTCAGTCTACCCCGCTTGGCAGTCAGGAGTTAATTAAACCCACGCTCCCACAACTCTTTGTGTAAAGAAGTGTCTCCTGTCCTGATTACAGGATGTCATGTAGCTGATTCAGGGAATCGGCTTCAACAACATGGCTGGGCAGCTAGTTCCATCCTCCCACAACTCTTTGTGTAAAGAAGTGCGTCCTGTTCTTGATTTTATATTCAATGAAAAATCCATTTGTGTCCTGTGCTTTCTGTTTCACTGTTCCTTCTGAAGAAGTGCAGACATATACCTGGTTTGTCTTCTCTGGGCTGATTCCAGAGCAACAGAAATCTTTTCTATATTGTGGTGGCCAAAAAGAAATGACCGTAACCATGCATGTATTAGTTTTAACATGACATCCATTGATTTAAATTCTCTGCTGAATTTTCTAGCATTTTGTTTACCTTTATAATTGCTTCCCCTCATTGTCTAGAAAATGTAAACAATGTGTCAGCATAAACACTGCAGTCGTGTTCATGTGAAACCTCTTCTAGCTCAGTTTCCCATTTCACAGCTACACTTTATCGTTGTGCTACCTGCTTAAAACACTCTGCACCATACTGATCTGCATCTTATCTGCATTGAATATCACCTACCAGTGCTGCATTTGGTCTGTTTGGAAAGAGCACGGTCGATGTCCACTACAGCTTTTTCCCACAGCCAGCATATAATGGCTCAGGCCTCACCACCACTGCTCCATCCTGCTCCATTAGGAAACACAAGAGCATTTAAAACCAAGAGACACTTCTTTACACAAAGGGTTGCTGGAGTATGGAACAGGCTGCCCAAGCCTGTCATTGAAGACAATAGTCTGGTGTCTTTCCAGAAACAGGTGGACGAGACCCTCTAATCGGGAGAAAGCACAACTTTACACCAAGAGTCGTGGGAGTGTGGAACAAGCTATGCCAATACCCTGGTCTCTTTCGGGAAATGACTGGAAATTAACTGCAAACAACCAGACAAGCTGAATGGCCTCCTCTCATTTGTAAGCGCTCATTTCTTTTAGATCCGTTCAGTACGGAGCAGTTCCTGCCTACTCACTCAGTGCAGTTGAAGCTAGTTGGCTCTGTGCGGCTCTGCAGGTTGTCCACCTTGGCGTGGAAGGGAAGGAGCATGCCCAGCAGTATGTCCCCATCAGCGTGAGCCCCACAGCTCTCCAGAGAGTAGTCACAGCCCAGCCCCGGGCTGGCCAGCAGGGACACCAGCAGCACTGCCCAGCACAGGCCAGAGGGCATGGCCATCGCTCACAGCACAGGGACAGAGTGAGACGCGCAGCGGGCGCCTTGCTCCTTTATAGCAGCGCTGTGCCAGCCCGGAGGGGCGTGTCGTCTCAGGAGGAGTGCACCACCGGCACGCGAGGACCCGCTCTTCCTCATTCCTCGGAAAGGTGGCGCTGTTGTGGGTCTCGGGAAGAGATAGCAGCTTCTCAGATTCCTCTGGCTCTGGGCGGGAGAAGATCCCGGCATAGTGTTTCTGTGTGGGAAGAGAAACTGGCCGAGCAGGAAGTGCAGAGCGCCCTGTCAAGCCCGTCAGCCTGTGAATGGAGGTAATTGAGCCGAGCTGCGTGAGGGGAAGGTGTCTCTCTGGGGCTGTGGGAAAGCTGTCTGCATGCTGGGCCTCAGGGCCTGACAGACGGGTGAAACTCCAGAACCTCACAGGAGATCTCAGGCCTTTTCTCCTTGGTGCCCTGAAGCTGGGCAGGGTGGGGCTCCTGACGTGACAGCACTGAGGCCCCCAGTCCCCACAGGAGTCCAGAGCAAGGGGCATGTCTGTGACAAAAAGAAGGAACAGCCAGGGGCATTACACTGACGGACTGAAGGAACTGAGTCTCTTTAGTCTTGAACTGAGAAGACTGTGAGGAGACTAATACTGTACAAGTATTGAAAATAGTACAGGGATTCCCTGTATCTCTAACTCTCATAATGGTTCTGGGACCCCCACATCTGCTGGTCTCCATCACAGTTGAGCTCTTTACTTACTTAAGTACATGAATCCTTCACTGAACCAACAGGTCACCTGTTTGGCACTTTTCTTTTTTTTGTACTCAAAATGTGGAGAT